GAGGAATAACCACTATTAATATTTATTAATATGGCCACTGAGAACTATTGCATTCATGTAATGCTTCTGGGTTTCCCATAATCATCAGAGACCCATTCACATTACAGAATTCTAGCACTATTATTTGACTTTAACTGCCAAGGTTCCATTCTGTGGAATCCAGGGACTGGCAGTTTATCAAAGGGCATTTAGAATTCCTAAGAGAGATCCAGTGCCTCACCAATCTACAAGCCTAGGATTCCATAGGGTGGAACCATCACAGCTAAAATGGGATGTATAGAATGAATAGACCCTGGAGTACTGCAGCCATTTCTTAAGATGGAGAACTTAAAAGCCCTTTGTTTGAGGTGTTGTCTGGCTTAGGAGGTGGGTTTCTGAGTTATGTTTGATCAGTGATGACTGTAAATATGAATCCCAAAAGTTACAATACTGTTAGTCTGGCTTACAATTTTGTAAACATCCAGGGGTAGCTGTGTTGGCCATTTAGCAAATTCAAACAAAAATCCATCAGTGATACCTTTACTGGTAACCAAAATGCACAATATACTTGTTGCAAGCTTTCAAAGCTCCATGGGATTCTTCATCAGGCAAGATGTTACAAACCAAACAGGAGAACAACAATTGGAAATGTTAATCAGATGCCTACATGTTGTTTCAGTCTTTAATTAAGATGGTATATGGTGAAATCCAGGTGTCCCTGTTGAGATTCAATGGGATTTAAAATTTTCTGGACTTTGAAAATCTCCCTATAACCACAGGGCCAGAAGGAGAAGCCTGCCTGCAAAAGATATCCTCCTCACCATATACCACCTTAACTAAAGACTGAAACAACTTGTAGGCAACTGACTAACATCTCCAATTGTTTTTCTCCTATTTGTTTTGTAACATGTTGCCTGATGAAGAAGCTCATGGAGCTTCGAAAGCTTGCAACAAGTATATTGTGCATTTTGATTGGCCAATAAAGGTATCACTGATGGATTTTTTTTGAATTTACAATTTAGTAAATATTGAACAGGATGTTAGCTGGCATTTGACTTAAAAATTGTCTTGTTCAACTAGTAATTTAAATTATAATTGCATAATACAATTATGAAAAGAGTTAAAAGAATGCTATTGCAAACTCAAGGCACAATATCACTTCAAAAATTGATTGTTTATTCGCCATACTGAATGTTTGTTTCAGTTCAGTGGATTTTTAACAAACTCCTCTGGCTGGATAAGGCTGCCAATGGAATAGAAATCTCATATGTATTATATGAAAGCATATATTAATGTAAAACACGGGATAATACAATTGAAACCAGTATAAATTAGGACTGGGAATGGTATTTTTCCCCATTTTGGACTCTATTCACTTGGGCATGGTGTCTCACAATTTTTTTTAAAAAAATCCATTTTTTGGTGGGAGGGTGTCCCACAATTTTTTTTAAAAAAATCCATCCTTTCTGAGTGAGCTTATACAGCAGCAAGCAATGGCAGCTAGAGGCCATTACACTGGTGTAGTGAATCTGCTCTGGAATTTAGTCCAAACTTTAAAGATATATCTTCTTTGCTGATAGAATTCAATGGTTTGGCTAGCTCTTTAAAACTTAAGTGGACTCAATTGGCATGTGAACTTTATTGTTGGGTTATCATATTTTTGACAACTGTACAGGTGACACAGTGTAATAATTCAGACTGTCTTAATTTTCCTTCCAAAAAAGCTATCAGGAAGGAAGATGGCACTAGCAGCAACAGCAGCAGCAGTTAGAAGTCAGTGGCTGCAACATTACTGGCACAGTATCCAGTGTTGCCAAGTAAAAAGAGAAATAAAAGAAAAAAAACCTTTTATTTAAATAAATATAAATAAATAAGAACCTGCCATAGAGTCACATATGCTGTCATTTCAGTGTGTCCCTCTTTTCAAATAGTTTTGAAATTCAAATCTCAATTCCCATGGCAAAAGTAGCTATCCCCAACAAATCACCTGCACTTAGGATGGAGAACTGGAGCAGCTGTTTTGGTTCACCACAAGTATGAAGAGAATGGAGAGCTGGCATGGTGAACTGGTTTGAGCACTGGTTTGAGAATTGGACTAGGACTCTGGAGACCAGGGTTCAAATCCTAGCTTGGCCATGCCAATCCACTGGCTGACCTTGGGCAAGTTACATTATCTCATCTTCAGAGAATGGCAATGACAAATTCCCTCTGAAGAAACTTGCCCAGAAAAACCAATGATAGTTTCACCCTTAGGGTCATAAGTCAGAAATGTTGTCATGTGTCAGAAGGTACATGACAACAACATGAAGAGTAGACCTGCAACAAATCAGGCAGAGATATGTGCAAAAGAAGTCTGTTAAATGAAACCAGATTGATAGCTGTGCTATTTAAGAGTACTTTAAAATGTGATAGAAAATATGTATCGAATGAAAAAGCAACTC